AAAGCGCTGACCAAACTGTTGGCGCTATATAAATCCTGTATAATAATAATAATAATATATATTCGTTGGTCCGGGTGGATTCACAAAATTTTGCAGTTTTCTCAGAAGATTGCTATCTATTAGTTTTTGGTTAACATTTTTCAGGTGGATTCGTTATTCATATATCAAAACTACAGTATTTGATATTTTCGGGCATAACAGAATAAAATTAATTCAAAATTCAGCGGTCCCGATTTTTTCAAATCAAAGAATTGCATTGGACTGTGGAACTAAACTGACCTCCTGGGATGGGACCTTCTTCTCCCTCCTCCAGCTCCTCTGGTCTTGTGGCAGAAAGTTTTGCCCAAAATATGTGCACATGTATCTGATTCTCCCCACAGGAGCCATAAGATGAAACCTGCGTGAGGACAACCATAGCATCCACAGCAGTCTATCTATGTGGCTGTACTGGACCTGCCAAAGCAATTTGGCTCTGTTCCCATCAGGGTTCTGATACATTCTCGGTTACCTATGGTTCTACAAGACACCCTAATGCTATTTATCCCCTTCTCCCCCCACCCCCCCCTTTCTCCTTCCCCCCTTTTTTTCCCTTGATCTCTTCCTTTTCTTCTTTCTACTGTCACTTTCTTCCCTCTTTACCCTTCCCACCCCTGCCTCCTTTTGTAGAACATCAGGTAAACATTTGTTCTACTCTCAAGGATGGGAGTCAGGGCATTCCGCTTTTTCTTTTTTTTTTCCTTTGACCTTTGACTCCCCTCCCATGACTTTTTGACTTAATGGCTGGTTTGCTTGTATGTCTTGGTCATCATATTGGATTTAAATTGCTGGTTGTCCCCCAGATACACTCCATATTTACAGGTCCACACAATGAGTGCTATTGTAGCTTTACTTCTGACACTACCCCCCAAAAGAAGTCAATTGTGACCTCCGGTTCCTATTGTTTGATCTGTACTATAACACACACACACACACACCTAGGAGTACGGTGTTGGGGGTATTTTGGAATGTTTTCATTTTTTCTTTTTTTATGAGACGGTGTGGTGACACCTCTGTTACTCAAGTTCTTCTGTCTACAGTGGCTGCTAGACGGCTAAATGTTCATATCATGTTTTTTTTTTTTCTTTTTTTTTCCTTCTCCCTATGCTTTATTATCTCTCCACTCTCTGGATGCTCACGGTACGATACTTTAGACGAAGTCCTTCACTCTACAGTGGCTCACTTTTTTGACAGGATGAGTCAGCTAAGTATCTCGATTTTCTCTTCTTCTCTATTTTCTATTTTTATCATTATCAGATTTTTTCTAAAAAATATAAATGGCCTTAATTCTAACTATAAGCGATGTCTGGCTATGAAGGCATTTAGACGATTAAGAGCATATGTGGTATTTGTGCAAAAGACTTATCTGGACAGAGGGGGTTCTTTAGCATTTGCAGACAAGCACTTTTCCCCTAGTTTCCTGCCTTCCAATCAACGGAAGAAGGTGGGTGTAGCTATTTTATTCAAACAAGGATCTCCATATACTCACATCAGCTCCTACTGTGACCCTCAGGGCAGGTACATTATTCTTAGAGGCAAATGGCAACATACGGACATTACATTATGTAATATTTAAGCACCTAATGCCAACCAATCTGCTTTCCTGACTGCGGTATATAACCGTTTGTTTGGCTCAGAACATACATACCTGGTGATCAGCGGTGATTATAACCTACCATTTTCTACAGGAACGGATAGGCATTTACGCTCTATTCGCACAATCCCCCCACGGTTGATGAGACAACCACCGTTTTTAAGACAACTTACCAGCAAACACGCCCTTTTCGACTCCTGGCGGGTCACGCACCTAACGGAACGGCAATACCCCAATTATTCTCACCCTTTTACACTCACACCTGCCTTGACTACTTCTTTGTCAATAACCCTACATTGTGTGCTATCACAGATGTGGCCATTTTACCCATTTCTTGGTCCGACCATACCCCAATTCTTCTCACGCTGGCCTTAGATTTTTTACTTAAGCATGAACCTACTTAATTAGAACTAGAGTCTACATTGAAGCTTTATTTTGCTGAGAACTGTACCCAAGAAATATCTTTGGGCATCCTTTGGGAAGCTCACAAAACAGTCTTGAGGGGCCAGTGTATCACTCTCTCTACAGTCTTGAAAAAAAATGCCAAACTTCTCCAACAACAAACAGAAATCAAACTTCAGGCCTTGGAAAGACGTTTACACCTCACTCCATCTATAAGTCTCCTAAGTTATATATTTAAATTGCCATCTACATTAAAAGAATTAGCTTTAGGTGAAGTCGAGAAAACTCTCATGCGCTTGCGTCAAGTGTTTTATGGTAAGGGGAATAAGGCTTATTCTCTTTTCGCTTGTAAACTTTTGGAACTAACCTGAACTACGGCTGCTCAAGCGGTACATGGCGCTCATGGGGTCTTGCATTCTAATCCTGAGCAAGTCCAAATAGTCCACATTTTTTGGACTTTCTATACAGACCTCTATAATAATCCAGCTATTCCACATGCCCCAACAACAGATGATCTGCTTAAGCGTATATATAATCATCTCCTCCAAAGTGGCATCCCTAAGTTGGCTGCCTCTTCCTTACTATCCCTAATGTGCCAATCACAGAGGAAGAGATTGAGGCAACTATCAAATTACTCCCAACACATAAGGTTCCAGGTCCTGATGACCTTCCTTATAAATATTATAAAACTTTTCTGCCCATTCTCCTCCCTCACATGACTTGTCTCTTTAATGGTTTCTTGCATAGGGAGTCGATCCCACAGGATATGCAATCCTCATACCTCACCCTTATCCATAAACCAGATAAATATCACTCCCTCTGTACGAACTACAGGCCAATAGCTTTATTAAATTCTGACCTGAAGATCTTTACTAAATTATCACTTAGATTAAATGAGGTCCTCCCCTCAATGATACATAAAAATCAAGTGGGCTTTGTCCCCTGGCGACAGGCTGGAGACAATACCAGAAAATCAATTAACCTCATAGACATTATTTAATAAAACATGGAGGCCCTTTTGTTGAGTTTGGATGCTGAGAAGGCCTTTGATAGGCTGAGCTGGCCTTTTTATTTTACAACTTTAGAATATATAGGTTTCAGGGCCCCTTTCTCAGAGCGATCAGACATCTTTACACCGCTCCGAGAACAGAGGTTAAAACTCCTTATGCCACTTCATCTCCCCTTACTGTCTCTAATGGGACATGACAGAGGTGCCTGCTGTTGCCCCTGCTCTTTGCTCTGTGCATCGAGCCTCTGGCAGCCCATATTCGTTGTGACCCAAATGTTCATGAGGTGTCTGTCTTGCCACTTAACATTCCTTCACTGGAAGTACAACACTTATCTGAGAGTTTTTCATATGCATGGAGGACTACTGCAATTAAATACTTGGGCATCCAAATTACTCCTAGTTATGAATCTCTATATAGTGTTATCTACAAACTGCGGTTTTGCATCCATACATGCGCTACTGGCTCAATAGAAAAAAACCCTACTCTCTTGGCTGGGCTATATCACTTCTATTAAAATGATTATTTTGGCCAAGCTCTTGTATCATTTTGCTAATTTAACAATCCATGTACCACCTGCACATCTCAAGCTTCTCCAGTCAGATCTTATGAATATTATCTGGGACTATAGGAACCACCGGGTGGCCAACACAGTCCTTTTTGCCTCTGGGAATGATGGCAGCCTTGCCTTCCCTAACTTGATGCGCTACTACTATGCAATTCAATTATGTGCAATTGCCTCCTGGGTCACTCTGAAACTGAAATTGAAAAACTCTGGCTTGCCTCAATCCAGCTGAACAATTTGTTGTAGAATACTGACGTTAAAGTGCCCCCCCCTCTTCCCTACTGCACACCCTGACGCTATTACGTGGGCTGTGGAGACAGCTGAAACACAAGCATTCTCTCCAATCTAAAGCCTCGTAGCTGACAAACTTTCTTTTTAATCCCAAAGTGCCAGATAGTCTTACCTCACAAATGACCTCCCCATGGATGGAGAATCAATTTTTCACTTTGGATACTTAGTAGACCCTAGAACCCAGAAACTACTTCCATTTGAAGTGCTCCAAGAGAAATATGACCTACCCCGTCAAGCCTTTTATGGCTGTCTCCAAAAACACCATTATGCGCATTCCATCACTCCCACACTACAATTTTCCAAACTAGCCCCCTTTGAACATTTGGTCCTTGCTAGTCCATCTCAGAAAGGCGTAATATCTGACATATATAAACTCCCTAATGCATACTCTATACCTACTCAGGGAAAACATTCCTATATGCATAAGTGGGAACAGGCAATTGGTGAAACGATGCCCTTGGAGTTGTGGCGGGTAATCTGGTCTGAAGCTGCAAAAAGCTCCATTTGTACTATTTATAAGGAAAATACCGATAAAGTGATATACTTTTGGTATCTAACTAGCTCATAACATAGTATCAAAGGTTGTAGTGATCCATGATATACTACTCTTTTGCTCTGATTGTGTATGCGCTGTCCTAAAAAATGGTGTGTTATTGTTCCCCTTTCTCCTTGATTTTGTTTGTACCTTTGTCATCTCTGTTGAATGCTCTGCGAAGTGTTCATTGTTTGATCAATTAACTAAGAAAAAAAACAAAGAAAAAATAAAATAAAAACTGGTAATTATAAAAAAAAAAAAAAAAGCCGCATGACCTCTGACAGAGACCCAACTTTCTGACACTGGCCCTACATTGCACCCCAGAATTCGTTCAGTGGACTTCAGATTTCATAATGCTATGCACACGGTCAAGACATCCAGTGCCTGAAGCAGCATAGCAACCCCAAAACATCAGTGAATCTCCACCATGTTTGACTATAGGGACTGTATTCTTTTCTTTAACCACCTCCCGCCCGCCATATAGCAATATGACGGACGCAAGGTGGTTCTCTCATTCTGATAGGACGTCATATGACGTCCTCCCATTCTCACCACGCATGCGCGGCTCAGGGAGCGCGCAGCATGGCGATCGGCGGTGCGCTGTGTCCCTCGGACACAGCAGATCACCAATCACGGAAAGAGCCAAAGATGTTGGCTCATCATGTGATCAGCTGTGTCCAATCACAGCTGATCACATGTAAACAGGGAGAGCCAGTAATTGGCTTTCCGCGGAGGGGACATCTACACTGATCATCAGAGCACTGATGATCTGTGTGCCCTGATGATCAGTGTAGCCCCAGCAGCGCCACCTGTCAGTGTCCATCAGTCCCTTGTGTCAGTGCTCATCAGTGCCTTGTGCCAGTGCCTATCAGTGCCACATCAATGCCACATATCAGTGCCTACCAGTGCACATCAATGCCACATATCAGTGCCCATCTGAGCTGCCTTTCAGTGTCACCCATCAGTGCCAGTCAGTGCCACCTATCAATGCCAATCAGTGCCACCTATCAGTGCTGCCAATCAGTGCCAGTCAGCACCGCCTATCAGTGCCATCAGTGCCAGTCAGTGCCGCCTATCAGTGCCAGTCAGTGCCGCCTATCAGTGCTGCCTATCAGTGCCATATATCAGTGCCATGTATCAGTGCTGCCTTTCAGTGCCCATCAGTGCCACCTACCAGTGCCTCCTCATCAGTGCCGATCAGTGCCACCTATCAGTGTCCATCAGTACAGCCTGTCAGTGCCCATCAGTGCAGCCTCATTAGCGCATATCAGTGAAGGAGAAAAATTACTTATTTACAAAATTTTATAACAAAAACTAAGAAAAAAACTTTTTTTTTCAAAATTTTCAGTGGTTTTTGGTTTGTTTAAGAAAAAAAAACCCATAGGTGATTAAATACCACCAAAATAAAGCTCTACCTGTCACAAAAAAATGATAAAAAATTCATATGGGTACAGTGTTGCATGACCGCGCAATTGTCATTCAAAGTGCGACAGCGCTGAAAGCTGGAAATTGGCCTGGGCGGGAAGGGGGGATAAGTGCCTGGTAGGCTAGCGGTTCAAGGCCTCATTGCTTTTTCTGAAAACAGTAGAATGATGGGCTTTACCAAAAAGCTGTACTTTTGTTTTCGTCTGTCCATAGTACATATTCCCAAAAGGATTTTGAATTCGGGTAAGTTTTGGCAAACTCCAATCTGGCTTTTTTATGTGTCTGTGTCAGCAGTGGGATCTTCCTGGGTCTCCTACCATAGCATCCCTTTTCATTCAGATGGCGACGTATAGTGCAAGCTAACACATTTGTACCCTGTGCTTGAAGGTCCGCTTGAATTTGTCTGAAGTTGATCGAGGTTCTTTATCCACAATTCGAACAATTCTTAGTTGCAATCTTTGACCAAATTTTTCTGTTTTGCCCACGTCCAGGGAGATTAGCTACAATGCCATGGGCTGTAAACTTCTTGACAATGCTGTGCACAATGGACACACAGGAACATTAAGATCTCTGGAGATGGACTTGTAACCCTGAGATTGTCCATGCTTTTCCACAATTTATGTTCTCAAATCCTCAGACAATGTTTTGCTGCTCTCTTTCTCTTCTCCATGCTCCATGTGGCACACAGAAGCACACAACAGAAAGGTTGAGTCAACTTTTCACCATTTTAACTAGTTGCTGGTGTGATTTCTTGTCAGCGCCTGTTAATTAATACAAGTGAGTTTTATTACAAATTTCAGGAGCATCACAAATGTGGAACACAGTTATGTCTTACAATTTTGAGAAGGTGCCAATAATTTTGTTCAGTCCATTTTGTGGAATGTGTCAGATTTGGCTTTTTGTTTCTCCACTTTTTTGTGTCATACCAATACAAACAAAATAAATAAACATTGGAATGCCTAAACATTTGTAATTGCAACACTTTTCTGGGCGAAGTGGTGCATTATCTGACAGAAATGCAGTGGTGACAAAATTTTTGGCCATGACTGTATGTGAGATAATCGTGATCCATGTCAGGGAAGGGAATAACATTTCTGGTCTGTCCCTGGAATGTCAGGGCCACAAGTATTATGCAGTAGCCCCTTGACATTGTGAGCCCCTTGCACCCCTTGTTAAAATGAATTAAGGCCTGTTTTATTTGTAATAGGGTCTTTGTTCTGGGCAATTTCCTGTCTCTCCTTTTGTCTGTTTCAGGTACACCTTTTGCTGTTTCCAGTCAGGATTTCAGCTATCAACTGTTGCTAGGCAGGTTAACTAGTTGCTTTTCACTCTCTGATTAACTACAACCTTTCTGAGGTAAACCTGAGGTGTTTGTCAACAGTCAGACCTTCAATCAAGGCAAGCTGTTCCACCCTCTCTTCCCTTTGTAACGGCTATCCTTTTTTGGGGGTACTGTTGCTTACTATTGTGAGTGAAAAGTGTGGTTAAAGACTTTAATGGACTGTAATGTTCAGCTCGAGTCTTGGTGATTGAGCTTTGGTGTTTGATATTGATTTCAAAGTAATTATTGGTTTGTTTATGGTTATAAAGTTTAAAGAAAGTTTAATGATTTGTGCAACAACTACATCATCAGTATTCAGTAGAGATATATTCTTCAACCAGTAGATGGCAGTGTTTATAGGTTTGTACATGTTTCTATGATATACTCTATGACTTCTCTCTGAATAAAAGGTTTCACATGTGGATGGTGGAAAAACACATGTGGATGGTGCACTGTCTGTTCTATAGGGCTTTATACATAATTGTCTAACATATTATGGGCCCAGCAGCCGAGTCATAGCCTGCTACAGCAAATAACTGCAAGATACATCAAGAGAAAGAAGACTGCAACATAATAAAAGAAAATGGAAGAAGGTATGAAGAAGTGTATAAATGAAATCAGGATAGAACGCCCTTCAGAGTACAATCTCTGTTAGCATAGAAGATGATGAAATCATACATATCTGTAAGTGTGAAATTGCTAAAGAAATTTGGGAAGACTTAGAAAAGGTGCATGAAAGAGTTATTCTCAGCAATAAACTGTAATTGATCAGAAAGCTATACCAAACCAAGCTGATGAAAGGCCAGGATATGTGGGAGTATATAAAGCACACCTGGGAAATGGCTGAATTCCTGGGAGGTATAGGAAAAGAAATAAAAGAATTTCTAACAGATATTTCATGTTGCAGCACTAATACTTAGTAGTTTACCAGAAAGTTATGAAACGCTTGTCACAGCACTTGATGCACGTCCAGATGATGAACTAACAATGGAACATGTTAGGGCAAGCTTATAGATGAATATAAGCATAAAACAGAAATCATTAATAGTGATGGTGCTTCTGTCACAGAGTCTGCTTTAAAGACGAAAAAAAAAAACCAAAACAAATGGTAACATGCAACCAGAAACACGTGAATGCTTTGTGTGCAAGAAGCAAGGCCAATTAAAAACAAATTTCAGAGTATAGAAAACTAGAATGCTAAAAAAAAAACCTAAACTACAAAAGGCCGGGGCATGGCCAGCATGACACGTAGCAGGTCGTGGTTCTGAGCAGCTCCGCCAGCGATCCTGATTCCATCACTCACCCACTCCTGCTCCCACAGTTCACGGACTGCTATCTATACCCCCCTGCTACAGATTGCCAGCTTACCCTAGCATTCTGGGGATGGAGTAGCAAGGCAAAGAAGCTAGTGGTGCTGGACCCAGTGGGACAAGATGGTGGCATCCCGCCCTGCTCTGCTAAGAAGAAGCAGAAGGCAGCACAGCAGCTATTTGCAAAGTCCTCAGCCAAGGAGGCTGCTGCTGCTATTTCCCCATCAGATGCCTGTGACATGGAGCTTAAAGCCTAGGATCCAGGTGGTTTACAACTGCCGCATGAAGGCATAGACAACCCAGACTCTTATATACTGTAACAGTAAATACTCAGCCTGCCTCCCTTAACATGGCACCTGCCCCTCAGCATGCTGGCACTAATCCTAAACCAACACTAAGGGAGATTCTTGCAGCTGTCACCACATGTAACTCTTCAATAACTGCCCTTGCTGGTGAGGATAAGGGTATGAAAGTAGAATTCTCCTTGGTGAGGTAAGACTTGCAGAAACTGAGAGACCACACTAATGCAGTGGAAGGGTGGCTGGGTATTCTGGAAGATGAATGGCAGCCATCACAATGTGATGTACACTACATCCACTCAGTTGCTTCTACTAACACATCCAGATTGGAGGATCTAGAGAATGCCAGAATAATGTGAGTGCAGTTGGCATCCCAGAACGGGCTGAGGGGAAGAAGCCAGTCTCTTTCATAGAATCCTGAAACATTTGGGAGAGAGTTCTTTTCACCAATGTTTGCTGAGGAACAAGCACATCGAGTTCCAGCGAGACCTCCTCCATCAGGGGCTCCCCAGTGACCTTTCCTGTTTTGCATTCTCAACTATAAAGACAGAGACGATATCCTGACCAAATCTAGCAATATGGCGGAAAGGTGGATAATGCCCGTGCGGAAGTACAACGTCAAAGGGTGAAATTATTTGATATTAAGCAGAAACTCCATAAACTAGGCGTACAATGCGCCATGTTGTACCCTGCAAAGCTCAAAGTGATTGCCAATGGTACCACACAATTCTTTGAAAACCCCACTTCAGCTGTGAACTGGCTGGATCATGAGGAACATAACGTGGCACTCCAACTGCCAACTTAGCCTACCGGGCACCAATACTACATTGTTCAGTGCCTAATGAGACATACCCTCTCATGGCAAATGATGTAAAGCTGTTTTTCCTACGCACAGCTTTTACGGTTATTATTTATCTACAGGATATGGCTCCCTGTGCGCCCTAGGGCCCGCATATTCCCCCTCACTATAATGCTCCTGCGTGGACTTATATGTTCCACAACATTGCCCTGATACCTGGGCCGGTTGGTCCTGTTTCTCAGGGTTGTTGAACTTAGTTATGGTATTATTCTTCAAAACTTGGCGGGACTCTCAAATCTACTCTGGTGTATGGTTTCAGCCTTTAATTCATACATGATATTATATTTCTGTCCTGGTTCTCTCACCTTTTGCAGGTCTAACCATATATACAGTATCTACACGATTCCTCAACTGTCCCTGAATGATGTGGCCTTTATAGGTTCCACAACTATTAAGCCTGCCCATGTGTTATTTTCTAATATGTATTTATGCTACATACTGTATATGATGAGTGCAACTTTAAAGGTTTATTATCTTGGAACATGCATGCTCTGGGAGATAAGATTTGGTGCAGGGCTGCCCTTGCATTCTACAATAGGCTGAAACCAGCCCTGATCTGTTTGCAGGAAACTCATTTGACGCCACACTCCGGCATCCATCTGCTCTGCTGACATATGTAGAAGACCCAGTTTCATTTCACATATTCTTCATTTTCTAGGGGAGTCAGTATTTGCATCTCCACAGCCCTGTCATTCATTTATATACAAGAGCAGATTGACAAAGGGGGCAAATATGTGTTTTGCGTTGCAAACTTAATAGATTTCTCTGTATAATTACTGCTATTTATATCCCACCACTCTTGTCCAATGTGATTTTAAAATGCCTAGCCCAATTTATGGCCCCTACTCAGATGTCCCCCTTCTGGCACTGGGAGATTTTAATAATTTTTTAGAGCCCTCTTTAGACAAACTGTCTAATAGTAACAAGCATAGAATCCTCTTAGGTGAAATAGGTCTTAGAGATGTATGGAGGGAAAAACATAAGGACAGTAAATGTTTTTCATGTTTATTTGCTTCTCATGGACTTTCACGCATTGATTTGGGGTTAGGTAACTCAGCTACAGTATGCTGTTCTATGTAGAGGAGGCTGCCTACGGACCCAGGTTTCCCTCAGATCATGCGCCATTCTGGGCATGTCTGTCTGTTCTTGGCTCTGTAAGGCGACCACTATGGAAGGTTTATCCATTCTGCCTAACTGTTCCTGGGACCGGACTCAATCCCAAGGACTCTGTCATACTTTCTATTAGAGAGTAGAGGTACGGCCTCAACAGGAGTAGTATGGGACTCCTTCAAATCATTTCTGCATGGGCTAATTATCAGAGAAATCTCAGCGATCAAGCACCGCTCTAAAGAATAGGAGAACTCTGTCAGGGTAGAAGTACAGAAACGGGAAACCAACTTGATTAAAGTGTTACTAAACCCAGGACCGTGCATTCACTATATTTGATCTCCCACAGTACAAACAACATGGAAATGCAATTATTTTAGTAAATATAAACTGCTAAATACCTTTTCTCATCAGCAGTTAGAGCAGTCTTGTGACTTCAGCAGAGCACTGGTTAAAGCTTGTAGTAGTTTTCTTTCTGCTCTAGAAGGATGCATCCCTGACCCTCTGCCTGAAGAGTGCTGATTGGCCCTGTGCTGATCACATGCACTCTCCCAAGAAAAAAAAAAAACCTCTCTAGCAATACACACTAAACATGTGCATGTGATTACGAGTTCAGTTTGTCTTATCAGGTGGACATTTGAACAAGAGGAGGAGCAGAGAAAACACGACCAAACAGCTTTTAACACAATACAGAGGATTAACCCCTTAGGTTCCACAGTGAGTATAACAAGCATGCTTGTTACTGCATATACAGACTGATTTTACTGTTGTGGGTTTAGTAACACTTTAAGCACCCTAGTCCCTCAACCCAACAGAGCTTGCTGGAAGCCAAATCCTTATACAACTCAGTACTTATGTCATCAGCTGAAAAAAAGTGATATTGTTTACAACAGCGATATTATGAGAAGAGTGAAAATACAGGGCATCTGCTGGCCCTGGTGACCAGAGTACAACAGGAAATAACCTCTATAGATGCTGTTTGGGATGCCACTGGAGCTACCTGCATCTCACATATAGATATTACATTCCTTCTACCAATTTTATACAGACTTATCCTGTTCTAAAACCTCTACTACAGCTGACCTGGTGAGCTTTCTGTAGGGCTGTCCTTTTTCCACATTAAATTAGGAGGATGTGAACATGTTTAACTCCCCTATTACAGTAGAGGAACTTACTGGGGCTCTAGCAGCAGCTCCTAATAACAAATCTCCAAGCTAAGATGGATTGCCCATTGAGGTATACAGTCATGGCCGAAATTGTTGGCACCCTTGATATTTTTCCTGAAAATCAAGTATTTCACACAAAAAAGGTATTGCATTAACACATGTTTTGCTATACACATGTTTATTCCCTTTGTATGTATTGGAACAAATATAAAACAGAGGCAGAAAAGCAAATATGACATAATGTCACACAAAACCCCAAAAATGGGCTGGACAAAAGTATTGGCACCCTTAACTTAATATTTGGTTGCACACCCTTTGGAAAACATAACTGAAATCAGTCGCTTCCTATAACCATCAATAAGCTTCTGACACCTCTCACCCGGAATTTTGGACCACTCTTCCTTTGCAAACAGCTCCAGGTCTCTCTTATTGGAAGGACACCTTTTCCCAACAGCAATTTTAAGATCTCTCCACAGGTGTTCAATGGGATTTAGATCTGGGCTCATTGCTGGCCACTTCAGAACTCTCCAGCGCTTCTTTGCCATCCATTTCTGAGTGCTTTTTGACGTATGTTTGGGGTCATTGTCCTGCTGGAAGACCCAGGATCTTGGACGCAAACCCAGCTTTCTGACACTGGGCCCTACAGTGCGACCCAAAATCCTTTGGTAATCCTCAGATTTCATGATGCCTTGCACACAGTCAAGGCACCCAGTGCCAGAGGCAGCAAAACAACCCCAAAACATCATTGAACCTCCACCATATTTTACCGTAGGTACTGTGTTTTGTTCTTTGTAGGCCTCATTCCGTTTTCGGTAAACAGTAGAATGATGTGCTTTACCGAAAAGCTCTATCTTGGTCTCATCTGTCCACAAGACGTTTTCCCAGAAGGCTTTTGGCTTACTCAAGTACATTTTGGCAAACTGTAGTCTTGCTTTTTTATGTCTCTGTGTCAGCAGTGGGGTCCTCCTGGGTCTCCTGCCATAGCGTTTCATTTCATTTAAATGTCGACGGATAGTTCGCGCTGACACTGATGCTCCCTGAGCCTGCAGGACAGCTTGAATGTCTTTGGAACATGTTTGGGGCTGCTTATCCACCATCCGGACTATTCTGCGTTGCAATCTTTCATCAATTTTCCTCATCCGTCCACGACCAGGGAGATTAGCTACAGTGCCATGGGTTGCAAACTTCTTGATAATGTTGCGCACTGTGGACAAAGGCAAATCTAGTTCTCTGGAGATGGACTTGTAACCTTGAGATTGTTGATATTTTGCCACAATTTTGTTCTCAGGTCCTCAGACAGTTCTCGTCTCCTCTTTCTGTTGTCCATGCTTAGTGTGGCACAGACAGACACACAATGCAAAGGTTAAGTGAACGTCTCTCCTTTTTATCTGCTTTCAGGTGTGATTTCTATATTGCCCACACCTGTTACTTGCCCCAGGTGAGTTTACAGGAGCATCACATGCTTGTAACATTCTTATTTATCCGCAGTTGTGAAAGGGTGCCAATACTTTTGTCCAGCCCATTTTTGGAGGTTTGTGTGACATTATGTCGAATTTGCTTTCTTTCCTCCCTTTTTTTGTTTTGTCCCAATACACACAAAGGGAATAAACATGTGTATAGCAAAACATGTGTTAATGCAATACGTTTCGTGAGAAATACATGATTTCCTGGAGAAATATCAAGGGTGCCAACAATTTCGGCCATGACTGTATAACAGGTATGGAGACGTGGTTCTTCCAGCCTTATTGAGAGTGTTTCATGAGGCGGATAATGCAGGCATCTTACCGGCTACTATGCAGGAGGCTATTATTATAGTGATCCCAAAGCCAGGGAAGAACAGGCTACTCCTGGACTCCTATTGTCCTATTTCACCATTGAATACAGATGTTAAACTACTGGCTTACATATTAGCTACCGGGTTGTCCAATGTGACTGGCAAACTAGTTCACAGAGATCAGTCAAGATTTATTCCCACTCTGTCCAAGGTGAATAATATTCGTCACCCTTTTCTTAACACGTAAATACCAGTGGGTAACCCAGGAGGTAGGGTCATCCTCTCCTTGGATGCAGCCAAGGCTTTTGATAGTGTTGAATGGCCCTACCTCTGGGAAGTTCTATTAAAATTTATCTTGGGAGACTTTTTTGTTAATTTTGTGAATACTCTCTATTCTGCTCCTAGGGTGTGACTTCATATTAATAATGACCTTTCTGAATCCTTCCAATTGCAGAGAGGTACACGGGTTGGGTGCCCTCTGTCGCCCCTGCTGTTTGCCCTAGCAGTGGGGCCTCTGGTCATCTTAGTTCATAAGTCTTCAGAAATTTTAGGTTTTTGCAGAGGGATGGAGGAATAAAATATATCATTATGCGCAGGTGAAACCTTACTATACTTAGGTGATACAGAGGGATCCCTGCAAACTCTAACGTCCCTTATAAGTCATTTTGGAGATCTGTCTGGTTTTAGCATTAACTGGGACAAATCGGTCCTTATGCCACTTGATCCCTTGCTTCACCCTTTCCCGATTGTGGACAGCAAATAAAGGTAATTTCCTCTTTAAGTACTTAGTGATTGTAGTATTACCCGATTCCAAACAAAATCTGCCTTTAAAATTAACACTTCTATTAGAAAAGCAAAAGGTAAAATGTAATGGCTGATATAAACTCACTCTTTTGGTGGTGGGGAGAGTTAATTTAATTAAAATGGTGTGGGCCCCACAGTTTCTATATATTTTCCATAACTCACCTGTATGGATCCCTAAGAAATGTTTTTTGAAAATTGATTCTCTATTCAGGTCCCTAATTTGGAAAAATCAGCAATCTAAAATAAGGCTTTCGACCTTACAATATTGTAAGGATAGAGGGGGCCTGGCAGTTCTCCATGCTAGAATGCATTATTTTTACCTCCTAATAAAGAGTTTGGATTTTAAATAAAAAAATACAAAAGATCAATTGTATCTAGCTATGATTCGTTGATTCAGGAGCTATATGAGTCACATAACAAATGACAGAAATTTCTAATGGGCAAATAATAGAATCAAAAGGAATACTATAGGAGATGGTTTTCTTTACTGTCTTATTTCCCAGAGTGCCACCAGAAAGATACCTGTGAAATTTCCTGTGTTTCTGCTCTTGAAACTAATCTTTTGTCAGTGAAGAAACTCACAAAACAAGGCAATATAGTGACCTTCCAAAATGACAGTTGCGCCATCACAAAAGGGGATATCTTACTTGTAAAGGCTAAATTAGAGATGAACTGTATCAGCTGAACTGCAATGAAGTACCGTATTTTTCGCTCCATAAGACGCACCTGACCATAAGACACACCTAGGTTTTAGAGGAGAAAAACAAGAAAAAAAATATTCTGAACCAATGGACTGCAGACACAGTACAGGGGATGACCAGAGACTGCAGACACAGTACAGGGGATGACCAAAGACTGCGGACATAGGACAGGAGATGACCAGAGACTGCGGACATAGTACAGGGGATGACCAGAGACTGCGGGCACAGTACAGAGGATGACCAGAGACTGCGGACACAGTACAGGAGATGACCAGAGACTGCGGACACAGTACAGGAGATGACCAGAGACTGCGGACACAGTACAGGAGATGACCAGAGACTGTGGACACAGTACAGGAGATGGTCAGAGACTGCGGACACAGTACAGGAGATGGCCAGAGACTGCGGACACAGTACAGGAAATGGCCAGAGACTGCGGACACAGTACAGGAGATGGCCAGAGACTGCGGACATAGGACAGGAGATGACCAGAGACTGCGGACATAGGACAGGGGATGACCAGAGACTGCGGACATAGTAGAGGGGATGACCAGAGACTGCGTACACAGTACAGGAGATGGACGGAGACTGCGGACACAGTACAGGAGATGACCAAAGACTGCGGACACAGTACAGGGGATGGCCAGAGACTGCAGGCACAGTACAGGGGATGGCCAGAGACTGCGGACACAATACAGGAGATGGCCAGAGACTGCGGACACGGTACAGGGGATGGCCAGATACTGCGGACACGGTACAGGAGATGGCCAGAGACTGCGGACACGGTACAGGAGATGGCCATAGACTGCGGACACAGTACAGGAGATGACCAGAGACTGCGGACACAGTACAGGAGATGACCAGAGACTGCGGACACAGTACAGGAGATGACCAGAGACTGCGGACACAGTACAGGAGATGACCAGAGACTGCAGACACAGTACAGGAGATGACCAGAGACTGCGGACACAGTACAGGGAATGACCAGAGACTGTGGACATAGTACAGAAGACCAGAGACTGCAGACAGTGCAGGGGATAACCAGAGACTGCAGACAGTACAAGGGATGACCAGAGACTGCGTACCTTTGGGGAGGGAGGGGGAGCGGGTACCTGAATTTGACAGGTACCCGCTCCCACTTCCGCGGAGTTGTCCTTCCTTCTTCTTCCCGCGGCAGCTTCTGTGACAGCCGGGTGCCCACTGCGCATGCACGAGAAGTGCTGCGCTTTGTGAATGGCCTGGAGCCTTCTGGGACCTGTCATGTGTCCCAGAAGACACCAGACCATTCACAAATCGTGGCGCTTCTCGCGCATGCGCAGTGGGCATCCAGCTGTCACAGAAGCCGGCGCGGGAAGACTGCAGCGCTGGAGCGAGGAACTGGTAAGGTCCTACAGGAGAGAAGAGCTAAGCGGCTGGCCCGATATTCTGACATGGTGGCAGCAGAAATACCGGACCGGCCGCTTTACATTCGCTCCATAAGACGCACTGACATTTTCCCCCCTTTTTTTGGGGGAAAAAAGTGCGTCTTATGGAGCGAAAAATACGGTAGTTAATACTGTCAAGGAGGAAAAACATTCAAACTCCATTCACACATGGCACAGATGACTTGGGCACAGAAATCCTGACATAATAAAGAAATTAACTGAGAATGACTATGCAAGTGGAATAAAAATTAGTCTAAGTGATCAAACAATGAAAGGCACCAATTGTATACAGACAAAAATTGACTCTAGGAAAAAAAAAAGGTATTTTCTCACTTTTACAGATGATTACTCTAGGTATACTACACTATATCTGTTACACACCAAAAGTGGAGTACCAGAGAAACTTGAACAGTATTTAGTTAAAGTAAGCAACAAATTTGGCAAAATGCTGAGTGTATTGTGCACAGACAATGGAACTGAATACTGAAGTGATAATACACAGGCAATTCTCAGAAAGCATGGCATAATATTTCAAACTACTGTACTACACAAACTAGAACAAAATTGGGTTGCAGAAAGAATGAACCATACATTATGTGAGAGTGGAAGAACCATGTTTGATGCAGATATGCCAACCACATACTTGGGGGAGGCAATTATGACCGAAAACTCCATAAGAACTGTAGAATGGAAAATTGGAAAATGGAAATGGAAAATGGAAAAATGTACTAAATGGGATACTCAAGTAATGTGTTCTTGTGGGATACAATGAATCTCGAAAAGGGATACATAATTCTGCACCAAGACACAAAAAAGGTAATCATCAGTAGAAGCGTAATTGTCCATGAAACTTGAGCGTGTTTAAAATTTCTTGAACTAACACAAATGCTTAAAACTAAGGGAAATCCCACATCAGTGTCATATGAAGACAAGCAACAAAGTGACACAGAAATAGAAATTAATGCAGAAAATCCAAATACTGTAAATGAAGAAGCCAGTCTACAAGATATTTCAATCAGGAATCAAGAAATCCACCAGAAGCAATAAAGGCATCCCAGACAAACGTCTGTCCTATATTGCTTGCGTAACATTAAAACCAGAGCCAGATTCATGGGATGAGATGTAAAGATTTCAAATCCATGGGAAACAAAAGTGGATCAGATGCTTTGACAAAAACCATTTGCAAGAAACAGATTTATAGAACTGAGATCCAAAATGGGACTAACATAAGGAGTAGTTGTTGAGTGGGGTGTTGGAACACAGTGTTCAGGTATTCTGTGCAACAACTGTATCGGTATTCAGTAGAGATATATTCTTTAACCATTAGATGGCAGTGTTTATAAGTTTGTAGCTGCATCTATGTTATACTCTGACTTTTCTCTGAATAAAATGTGGACTATGCACTGTCTGTTCTGTAGGGCTATATACAGTAGTTTCTAACAATTTACAATCCCAGTTCCAAAAAAGTTGGGGCACTGTAAAATCTACATAAAAACAGAATGTAATGATTTTCAAATCTCATAGATCCATATTTCACTGAGATTTCTCCAGAATCTCTGAATCTTTTGATGATATTATGTACTGTAGATGATATATATTTAAACTCTGCAATTTTACATTGAGGAACATTTCACAGATTGCCCATGTTTACTTCTGAGGCACTCTGACTCTCTGAGATGCTGATTTTATACCCAATCATGATACTGACAATTAAGCTAATTAGTTACAAAATGTTCTTCCAGCTCTTCCTGGTTAGTACCACTTACTTTGCCAGCTTTATGTTGCCCTGTTCCAACTTATTTGAGGCTTGCTATTGCCATCAATTTCAAAATTACCATATTTTTTTCCTAAAATGATACAATTTTTCATTTTAAACATTTTATGTTTTCTGTTTTCTATTATGAATACAAAATGGGGTTATGAGAATTACAAATAATTGCATTCTGTTTTTATGTAGATTTTACACAGCTCCCCAACTTTTTGTATTTGGGGTTGTATGTAAAGCCTGTATCCCAGAAAAAAAAACATTTTGCTGTAACTGCTTGTGTAACTTCAGTGTGAGCTCTATCCAAATCTGTACATCTGACACTCCCTTTCCCAGATTAACAATGCTGCTATCCAAAGGTGTCCCTGTGCTCCTTCATCCAGAGTGAGGAGCACTCTAATACAGGAGGTGTCCAGATCACCAGGTGAAAACAGAGCGAAACAAAAATGAAAAATATAAAGAATGCGGTCACCATATATAAAGATATGTATACTACAATATATTATATTTTTGGTTTTGGGCTTACTACCACTTTAATCAATCTGGCTCATTCAGCCTAAGTGTAGCCAAAATTAAGAAAAAAAAGAGAAAAATCAGCAGCAAGGGGCATAACTTACTTGTGCTAATGCCTCTTCTTCTAGTTGAGATCTTCATCTGTCCATGCCCCACCTTGCCGCCGTAATCTTCCACTGCAGAGGGGGGGGGGTAATACAACTAAGGGACTGTCACAGACTCTTGTCAAGAGAACCCAACTTTGCCTGCCCTTTCCACACGGCTCCAACATTCATAGAATTAGTAAATGAGATGAATCTATGCTGACTTCAATCCAATCACAAGCAGGCAAAACAATCCCTTTATTTTAAATTTCCTTGCACAAGATTTGGTATTCTGTTCAAAATTTTTTTTTTTTACTTCGTGTAACCTCATTCACTAAGGAAAGTGCAAGTTTCCATTGCAAAATCAATACACTCTAGTCTTTTAAAAAATCAACCCCATTGCCAGGGGCATTGCTAGGATTGTAAAAGAGCTAGGGCATCCTCAGAGACTCAAAACAGGCAAAATATATTGTAAGTGGAAGGGTCGTAAAGAGGCATGGTTAAATTAAAACTGAGCCTACTCAATATTTATGTAATGCACTGAGTGTAGGGGTCAGAAGTATTACATGTACAACATAAGCATATGTTGCAGAGTTCAGGGGTGTATAGCACACAGAGTGCAGTGGTCTAGAGTAGGTAACACAGATTGCAGGGTCAGGAGTAGGTAATGCACAGAGAGCAGGGGTCAGGAGTAGGTAATGCACAGAGTGAAGAGGTCTGGAGTAGGTAACAGAGTACAAGAGACAGGAGTGAGTAACACTCAGAGTGCAAGTCACCCCTTTCAAATCTCCCCAGCGCACATTTCTCCCCCACTCAAACCCACTCCAGTACACATCTCTCCCCCTTTGCAACCACCCCAATACACATCTTTCCCCCTTCCAGTACACATCTCTCCCCCTCCAACCCCCTCACTATGCATGTTTTTCCCTTTCAGTGCACATCTCCCCTTCGCTCCAGTACGCACCTCTGTCCAGTCTAACAACCCCCCCCCAGTGCACATCTCTGCTCCCTCCAACCCACATCCCACAGTACACATCTCTCCCTCCTCCAACTCACTCCAGTACACATCTCAGCCTCCTCCTCCAACCTCCTCAGTGCACATCTCTATCACCTTCAACACACTCCATTACACATCTATTCCCCCTAAAACCATCCCAGTGCACATCTCTCCCCTTCAACCCTCCAGTGCACATCTCCCTCCCCTCCAGTACACATTCCTACCCTTCCAACCCCCCCCCCCAGGACACACCCATTCCCTCCAGCCCAGTTTATTTCCAAAGCATCAGTGCCACAACCAGTAGCAATCATCTAGTGCAAAACAAACATTTTGCTGATGACCAACTCCTCAACCAGGAACCCATGCACTTTTCCACTCAACTAATATGTCTAATTACATAGAGGTAGGTAGTATATTCCTGTTATACTGGCTTCCACAGTTATTTGCAGCTCTCTGATTCACCTGTTTCTACGCACTGTTCACAGGTCTCTGGACTCCAACTCTATGTCTTTTCACCTATACTATCATTGCCAGCTGATTTCCTTAAAGAAGAAAAATAGCCAAAGTTTTTTTAGCCATACTTCTCTTCTGGGTTGCAGGAGTACACTTATTTCTGCACTCCTATGACTAAGATTCAGTGGACAATGTGCTAAAGCCTGCTGTTGGTTGACTTCACAGAGCTGGGTCAGGCTCTGCAAGGATCCCAACTTTAACATCGGGATCCACCCAAATGCCTAAGGGGCAGCTGACTCAGCCTCTTAGCAGCACGCTGAGAGACTGAAACAGCTGCTCCCACCCCTTCCATAGCCTGGCACTCCAGTGAATGCTGGAGGGGCAGAGCAGAGACTGACTGACGGTCACCACTCTCTGCTCAGTGAAGACTGATAACTGAGTGATCAGCAGTCATATGATCACTCAGTTCTCGGTCTTAGAGCTGGTGGGGGACAGCTGCAGTATCGGATCAATGCTAGCGCATCATAGATAAGTATATATGTTTGGTTTTTTTAAATCCTGCACTTCTTGGTAGGAGGAAGAAGAATATATGGACCTTCCTTGTACAGTATTTCTTTCAAGTTTATTATTATCATTAAAACTTTAAAGCTATAAAATAATAGAAAGAACATCAGCTTCACTCTACTTGGTGCTTTCATCTTTCTTAACGGCCCTGGCATGCAATCGGAATTCTAATTTCTACCAAAAATTTAAAGGCATTGCAGTTTTGAATGTTTTCATTGTTTTAACAAGATATTAGTGTAGTTATATTCCCCTCATTGTTTGTTTCCCTTACCTTATGGACTCATATGTTGGACTGCAGTTTATAGGTCCTGGCTGATTGATTCCACTATGTGCATGTATTCATTCACGTAGCTTGTCCGTATTAGGGACAGACAACTTCTTGTTCTGTGTCACACAGTGTCAAATCCATAGCTACATAGTTAGTCTAACGGAAAAAAAGACAAAATCCCATCTAGTTCAACCATTAATAAAAAAAAAAAAAAAAGTTATAATCCTATACCCCCACAATTGATCCAGAGGAAGGCAAAAAAACCCCCAACAAAGCATGTTCCATTTTGCTCCTGCAGGGAAAAAAATTCCTTGCTGATCCCCCGAGAGGCAATCGGATATTCCCAGGATCAACTTTACGTATAAACGTTAGTATCCAGTTATATTCTGTGTATCTAAGAAACACTCCAGGCCTTTTTTAAAGCAATCCACTGAGCTGGCCAGAACCAACTCTTGAGGGAGTCTATTCCACATTTTCACAGCTCTCACTGTGAAGAAACCTTTCTGTGTTTGGAGATTAAATTTCTTTTCCTCCAGACGTAAAAAGTGCCCCCTTGTCCTCTGTGATGACCTCAGGGTGAATAGCTCTACACCGAGTTCACTATATGAACCACTGATGTATTTATTTATTTTAATCCATGCTTTTAAATTTTCTCTGCGCTGCATTACAAATGTGGGAGTGCTAATGTGATGAAACACATTCCATCCCTTCATTGATTTGCCTGCTTGTGGCTGGTGAGATCTAATTACTGCTAAATTCGCACCTGTACAGCACTAGACTGAGAGACCCAGGGATTGCTGCATATGTAGTCTCTTAACAGGAAGCTTCAGTTCTCAGAATGCAAACAGATCTCTTGCAATAACCTGTGCAATGCCACACCATACCATACCTTAACCACTTGCCTACAGGGCACTTATACCCCCTTCCTGCCCAGGCCAATTTTCAGCTTTCAGTGCTGTCGCACCTTGAATGACAATTGTGCGGTTATGCAAAATTGTACTCATATGAAATTTGTATCATTTTTTTGAGACAGATAGAGCTTTCTTTTGGTGGTATTTAATCACCTGTGGGTTTTTTATTTTTTGCTAAACAAACCAAAAACAACTGAAAATTTAGTTTCTGTTATAAAATTTTGTAAATAAGTGATTTTTCTCCTTCACTGATGTGTGCTAATGAGGCTGCAGTGATGAGCACTTATGGGCACTGATAAGTGGCACTGATGAGGAGGCACTGGTAGGTGGCATTGATGGGCATTGACAGGCATCGCTGATGGGCACTGAAAGTCAGCACTCATATATGGCACTGATAGGCGGCACTATTAGTTGGCACTGACTGGCACTGATAGGCGACACTGGCGAGCAGTGATAGGCGGCACTGACTGGCACTGATAGGTGGCACTGAAAGGCAGCTCAGATGCGCACTGATATGTGGCATTGATGTGCACTGGTAGGCACTGATATCACTGTTCAACAGGTAAAAAGTTTTGGGCATAAAATTAGCTAATCTTACATAATTTTGGGGTGCTGAAAACGAAAATGACCCTAAAAAATGTTGATTGGTTCTAGTTTCCATGATATATTCACCCATCTAATGACGTAAGCCATTCAAAATTATGATGCAACTTCAGCTGCATATTGTGCAATTGATACTGGTGACCAATAGAAAATTGCATGTATACTGAGATGATGCAATATTAGCCTTTAATTGCATCACTTCACTGCATAAAAGCTGCAGTATCTGTAGCTGATTGTAGTTCGACAGCGTCTTTACATTTCGTTTTATGCTTATATAGGCTACTCAGTAATGCCTCGAACTTGTGTGAATAAAGCAGATAATTTCTGCTATATCTGCGGTGAAATAACTTTTATCTCACAAAAAAGGAGGATAACAGGAATGATTAAGAAAGCCTACAACTTGTATTTTGGCTGCAAGATAGGAGACCAGGACAAGAGCTGGGCACCACATATATGCTGCAATTCTTGTGGGACGGCACTGGAGCAATGGTTGAATGGAAAAAAGGCATCTATGCCTTTCGCTGTGCCAATGATTTGGAGAGAGCCAACAGATCATGTTAGTAATTGTTACTTTTGTATGGTGCCTCCAATTGTAAAAGGGCTAAATAAGAAGAAAAAGTTATCTGTGCACTATCCAAATATTCCGTCGGCAATACGTCCAGTTCCTCATGGAGAGGGGCTACCAATTCCTAAAGCACCAGAATCCTTCGTGGTTGAGTCAAGGAGTGAGGAAGAACCTGAAGCGTGTAGTCACGTGCAGTTGTAAGAGATAGCCCTTTCCTCGAATACAAGAGAAAAGCCAAGAGAAGCAAAACCGACACAAACTGAAGACAAAACTAGTGAGAATCCTAAGTATTAAAATGATTCAACTTAGCTTATGGCTATAATTTTTCTTGGTAATCCTATGCAATATATTATGCCATTTAGGCTTTGTTATGTAGTCAATATCACTTGCTTTATATTTGTGGAAAGACATCTATCTATATAATTATTGTGCATTATGTAGTCATTACGCCTATAGTAGAAAACGTTCCGTTTACAGAAAAACTAGAGCCAATTGACAAATTTCATTGTTATATTTGAACTCAGAATGTGAAATTCATTAAGAAATGGATCGTTTTGTTTCCAAAACTGGCAAAAAATAAAAATTTGTTGAACAGTGTATGTGGCTTTGATGTGGCACTGATGGGCACTGGCAGGTGGCATTGATGGGCACTGACAGGTGGCATTAATGGACACTGACAGGTGGCATTGATGGGCACTGACAGGTGGCATTGATGGACACTGACAGGTGGCACTGATGGGGCTACACTGATCATGGTTAAATTTGAACACAAATAGAAACTGCTGACACAGAACTGTGAAGATTTACTCTAATATAGGCTGCGTGTACAAGGCAACAAATTACATCATGAAACTACATGATCAACGCACATCTTATGCAGCTGAAAAACACTAGTGTAAGTATAATATAGGAAGATTTATAATGCCTTTACATAAGATTTGGCTCAGGTCTCTGTGCAAACCACTCAAGTTCCTTCACAGCAAACATGTCAAGCTATATTTTTTATGGACCTGGCTTTGTCCACCAGAACTCATTGATTTGGAAGGCTGCCCACATATGCTTGGCCATATACTGTATGACTGTTGTTATGACTTTGTTAGCCATGCAGTGGCCACATACACAAGGTAAACAAGCTTCTGCCCATGATATTAGGCTGCAGCTGAGGCCTTGAAGCAAGGTAAAAGGCTTGTCCCCTAGAGGGCACACTTGAGCCATGTTCTGGCCTTGAAGCAATGGCCCTAGGACCACAACTTTGTTCCTGGATCCCATGTAGAATTTGGAGTCCAGGGATAGCAGTGTCCTCTAGTTTTCTGTCCTGTTTTTTTAACCTACTTTGCCAAGCATGTATTACTGTGCACTAATTTGTCCAGCAATAAACATTCATCATTACCCAGTCATTTTTTGCTTATTTACTTAATCCCCAGCTCAGTCTGGCCAAATCCAGCATTTATAAACAGTTTATGAGTTGGCCGCACTCACTCAATGTCCTGTAGTTATCATCTATTTATATACTGCAATGACTGTGCACAACTCCAGTGGACACTAAGTTTTAGAAATCTGAACCACATAGCACATACTGCTGGCTGCTATATTGGGCCACACATTCCTGCAGCATTCCAACTTTTTATTTTTCTCTTGTATTCAGTATTACTAAATTAGATGCGTGTATATTTAGATATATTAACCCATTCATGCACAGATCGTTTCAGAGAAGATAGCTGAAAAACTGTTAAATGTATTCAAGGTCTATGTAAACCATAATGAAATGACACTTTGCTAAACTACAGTGTACCATAAACAACTGCCATTTTTATCAAATCAAATAATAATGTTAACTTTTTCTTCATCCTTTGGCCTTAAAGACATGGGTGTACTCAAGCGTTCACCCATGCGAGTTCTATGTTTGCCCACATGGGATGCACAGTAGTTCTGTGCATCTGCGTGCAGGCAGTCCAATTCATTTTATATGGGTTGCAATGGCTGCATAGACACAACCACTGCTACCAAATTGATATCTGCGTGGGTGTGGAGCTATGCAGGCGCTTGTCCCTGAATTCAGTCTGAGTTTGGGTACACACATCCACACTACATGGATGTCAAATTGGGAGCAGCATCTGTGTCCGTGCAGCTGCTGCATCCCAATTGACATGAATGGAACTGCCTGCATATGGATGCATGGAACACCTGTGCATTCTGCGTAAACAAACACAGGCGTTTCACTGGCATATGCATAAGTATGCCCATATGAATAAGGCCTTTATCACATCTTAGTGCTGCTGATTTTTTGCAGTCACTTCTTATCAACATGCATGACATTTCTCTGGGAAGTTTTCTTGATGGTGACAACAGACCATAGCTGTGCAATGTGTGTCACCACAGTCACTTGAACTCCCTAAATGGACACAGATGTCATAAAACTGTTGCTTGTGTTTGTTACTTTGTCGGCACCGCCTTTATCTATGATTAAGTCACTGATCACATGACGAAACACGTAGAAGGCGTTGCCACATGATGTCATCATGCCCTGAAGTGTAAGTTCGGCCATTTTAGACACCACTTCAGGGCTATACATCCTTAAGGGGGCAATGATATTGTTGGACGATGATTTTAATGAATTTATCTGGCACTCCGGATGTTACAAGTGCACTAATTTTGTGAGTGTTTTTAATCTTTTTTAATAAACATTATTGAGTTACTCCGATACTGCACCATGAGATCCTTTTTGGTTTATATTTTACATTGATCTAATTGGAGTCCAGTGGTCTTAACGTGACACTTACCTGTTATAAATTGATTGGAAGAAGATTACTACTTACTGTACCCAGAGTGTTGGACAAGTGTGTTCGACTTTACCTTTATGACGGTTGAACCTTGAGGTAAGCGGCAGCATTGAGAGGTGTTGGTTCACTGTGGTGGAGCACATTAGAAGGTTTATAAGGAGCATGTATGATCTATGCATGTCATAAAGCATGATCTGCTCTGAAGAGAGGAATTTTCAGAAGAAAGATTTGGGAATATTATATTTTTCACAAAGTTCACAAATTTAAAATATTTTTATGTGCATGTGTTTACATACGCTTTTCTAGTTTGTATTAAGTTTATAGAGGGATTTGAGTTCCTCAGCATTGTTCTTGACAAATGCATGAATTGCACAATAGATTAGAGGTATTCCTTGTAATGTAAATTTTTTTTTCATGTGTTTATATGCATATATTGGTATATATTTGTGTTGGATGTTACACACACTTGTTGGGTTATATCATTTTGCACATTTTTATTCAGTGGTACACATATTAGAAATTGTGCTGCACTCTTTGATATTGATATATTATTGGTGTTTGAATGCACGACAGCGATTAGCTGCAACACAAAAATATTTATTAAACTTTTTTTCATATATTTAGATTAGCGCGGAGGTTTTTTTTTATTAAAAATGTAATTTATTGCAGCTTACTAGTCCCCAGAGGCTTCGTTAGTTTTAATTTTTCAGGCACAGAACAGTTTCAGAGAGTATAGAAAATACCCATTAATCTTGACAGAAATGCAGTGACCTTGTCACATTCTGTGAATTGAACAGTAAGCACAAACAGCCTTATTTTCCTTCCATGTATCTTCTGTAAACTACCAATGCACAACCCCTCCATGTAATGAAGATGAAGAAAGGAAGACATGTTTGTAGTTCAAATCAAGAGACCGGTCTCGTGACAACCATGGCTTCCTCCAAGGATACAACAGAGTAGGTGAGCATAGCCACCCAGGGACAGAAAGTTTGTTTTTTGTAAGATCACCTAGTCAAAAAAAGTTAAAAGCCTAAAAAATATATAGTTCTATATAATATATTATATTATTATTATACAGGATTTATATAGCGCCAACAGTTTGGTCAGCGCTTTACAATATAACGGGAGACAATACAGCAACAATACAGTTCAATACAAGAGGGATAGGAGGGCCCTGCTCCTTGGAGCTTACAATCTAGGAGATATCATAGGTTAAGCTTCCAGTGTTAGGAACAATGAAAAGTCATTAGGTAATATTAGTTGCTAGAAATGATTAGTTCAATATTATTATTGTTTGTGCTTTGGCATATTCTGCTGTATTTTCTAAGCAAAAGAAATTAGTTTTTTTTTAAATTTTTGTCCATGAGAAAAGTTTATTGACATAGCACATAAATAACAACATTGCTCATAATATCCATTATTTACTAAATATTCAGGTTTTTAGACCAGCTTTTCTCAACTAATTTGATCCACAGGAACCCTTAAAATAATTTTCAGGTCTCAAGCAACCCTGCTAAGTTATATCTGCATTTTACAGTACACTAATGTGATTGATAAGTTGAAGATATTACAAATAAAAGTATAAAGGATGTGGTGTATATTGCGTATTTGAGACCCATGGCCAATAATTTTTTTAACCCCCTGATCTGTATGACAAAAATATATTTTCAGTAATAGTCACTCATAACAATAAAATGAAACAAAGAATAAAAGATGAAGAATGACCACTATATGGGTAGTCAGTGAGAATGTCCTGATCAACTGAAAAGAATGCTGCCTAAATTGCAGGTCATTGGGAAGACTGCCCCACTGTATTTGGAATTCAATGGAGAGAATGTCCAGTTACAACGCTGGGTGGTAAGGCAATGTCCTGATACATTTGTTTTTCTGTGGGAAGATTGCTTAATTACATTGTGGGTCACAGGGACAAAATAGAGCTAAAAAGATCAGTAATGTCAGTGGTTATTTACTTGAGAAAAAAAAGAAACGGATTCACTCGTACGAAACTGATGGCTTAGCCAAGTGACATTGACTCTGGATCTAAGCAAGCCCCCTAGATCAAGAGGTCAATCCCCCACTGCTCACTGTTTAAGAAACCCCTAGCAACCTTTGATAGCACCCTGAATAGGAAGGAATGATACAATCAAAAGGTGGGAATTTCAAACAGAAGTTCCAAAGATATTAGAATAAACTGAATAAACAGTACAGTGACCATGTATTGGATTGTCTGTAATGCATGTTTAGGGTACAAGGGTTATTTAGGCAGCAAGTCTAAACTTTTATGTGGCATTGCAGAGATTTCATACTGGAGTTCTAGGGCCATATCAACAATCAAGGATTATGTTTAGCAGATCTCCCTTTCAGTATAAAGTCTGAGAAGGAGAGAGAGAGAAAGAAGGAGGCGTCTAAAGAGTAGTAGATTTATTTGAGTTTGTGGGTTTACCTTGAGCAGGTTGTAGGGGCAGCAGTTGATGATAAACCTTTCTTCCATGTTTCCCATTAACTCGTTGAGCGCTAAGTCTGGGACACATAAGAGGACTATCCCTGGGGTGGGTTCTTCTGAGCTACACTAGGCACTTCAAACATCGTCACTCTTTTAGCACATGGGGTACCTTTGCCCTGTGCCGTTTTCATCAATGCCCTGGGACAAGGCTGAGGGTGTCGTAGGGGAATACACAACCTTAAGGTGGGGGTCTACTCTCAGAGATGAACGTACACGTGTAAACTTGCACAACTGTCCCTCAGTTAACTCTCGGGTCCCTGTGTCTGTGTACACCTTCGCTGTAGCATGCATTTAAAGTGTTAGTTTACCAGAACCCTGCCTCTGCAGATGTAGCACTACCCCCTTAAGGGTTGCTTAGTAATGTTTGGGTTCCCTGTCAATCTGGACCTCTTTCTGAAAGCCCAACCTCTGCTGACACCACTGCACTCTTGTGTTGCCACTGTAAAGTGGACCCACA